CATGATGTGGCAAGTTTGATACCCGTGTTCTAGATTGACAGACATCTAGCATGCTGTATGGAAAAAAAATGTTCAGGGAGTCTTGCATAGAAATCGAAACCTTAAACTGTTTTCTAGTAAGAATAAAGTTTAAGGGAGGAGCCATGTTCTATATAGCCCAAACAGCCAGATCTCTAGCCCCACTTCTCCAAAATAGAATGAGAAATAATTAGGCAGGACTGAAATTATCAAACAAAAAGTACATAACAACGGAAGGATTCCATAGCAGGCAGTGGTGGAATTCAGCCAGTTCGCACCACTTCAGCAGAACCGGTAGCTAATTTTTTGTTGCCCAGGCCCAGAATGGACTTCCAGAAGCGGCATCCACACAGAGAACCGGTTGTTCACATATTTGAATCCCACCACTGCTTATAGGTACACCTGAAACAGATGAACAAAGCCACAAATAGAGAAGAGCATATCTTTCCATAGTGGATAATTATGGAATAATGCAATATGTATTCCACTATATATTCAAGATGGACAGTGATTAATATTTATATGTATTTATATGCAAGGGTGCAGGTATATACATATGTTGTATATGGCATGTTTATATGTGTGTTATGTACATGCACACTTTTGAGAGCAGGCAACAGAATTTCATTTTTAATGTGTGCCAGTGTGCTCACAATAAAAAATGACAATAAAGGTTATCTTATCTCTTATAATTCTCCCCAATTTACACATTCTTAAGTACTTTTACTGCTAGTTGCAAGATTTTGACTGATTTAGTCAGACTAAGATCATGCTGGTTTCATGCCACTTGTTATACCAATGACAGATTTTTTTTATTATTCCTGAGTTTTTCAAAGAGTAATGTCTACATTTTTACGAGATCTGGAGAATGTTTCCGTATCCACTGACAATTTCTTGATATACACTTACCAAAAATGAATATAATCAGACGCACTCGACTGTTCTAGCAACTATGAAGGCTGCAGGCCTAAAAGCTAAAAAATAAAAGCCACCTAACCCTGAAAAGCATATAGCATATAAAATACAATAAAGCGTGAGCTAGATCCAAGGAAAGTGAAGTTGAATGAACTATGCAGAATCTACACAGGAACTAAAGTTTTCAAGAAGAGACTGGACAGTCACTTGTCTGAGATGGTACAGATTCTCCTGCTTGAGCAGGGGGCTGGACTAGAAGACTTCCAAGGTCCCTTCCAGCTCTATTCTGTTCTAAAGTGTTTGCACACGGTGTAATACAGCATCTTGAAATATTTATATTATTTGTGTTATAAAGGGCAAAGCCAAGCATCCTTTAAAATCAACTTGCTAAAAACGCAAACAATTTGACAATTGGCATATCAAGAAGAGTCACCTTTTAGGACAGAAATTAAGTTAAATGAAGACCCATATATTGACTTTGGTATTAAATGACATATTGCTCTGAGTCCTCATGCTCCAAACTATAGAGCAGATGGAATATTGCTTCAAATTCATGAAGCAAAATTGAAACCAATAGCCTGAATACCCAAACTGAGGAAGAATTTCATACCCTACCCTTCAGTGAAATGTAAGCAGGTCCTCTTATAAATCTCTGTTGTTACTAACCATTAATTGAGATCCATTCTTCTGTCTCTGTGGCAGACAGTCAAACCATAATATTTTGATTCCAGACAAGAGTCAACGTTCCAGTAAGCAGTCTAACAAAGGTGGCCAGGTGCTGCGTCAGTAGTAGGCAGTAGTGGACAGAAGAGGTCAGTAGTTCAAGTAGTAGGTATGACACAGGCCAGTTTATAAAAAACAAAGAAGCTGGTTTCTGCATCATATTAAAACAAAACTGATTAATCATCTGCTCTATGATTTATTGTTACATATGAACTAGGCCAGTTGTTCATTTGCTACTGATGCAAAGATAACCAAAGAAAATATAATCCTATAATGTAGCTTTTAAGATGTAGATAAATTGGACAGTTAAATTTAGGTCTAATTTCATTCTGAATCTTGCCTTTTCATATATATATATGAAAAATAAATGTTTTTCTACATAATAAAGAAGAGCTCTCTATGAAGAGTATCAGGAACTCAAGGGGACATCATTTTGCTCCTATCTCCCATTTTCCCTTATACCAATAACCCTATATTGGGGGTAAGAATGAATGACTGGCTTAAAATAACCCACAACTTATATGAGAGTGGACTTGAACCTGACACTCTTCAGTGCTAAGACAACATCTTAACCTCTATAGTTTCTAGTGCCAGTTCACATTTAAAAATCAGCATGGCCTTACTACTTGGTCATGTTGGTCAAATGGACAACTGATTAAAGAATTTTTACAGTGCTAAGCATTATCTGAAACAGCAGCATTGAATATGAGAGCACCTACTTCATCCCCACGCCTTTAATCTTTAGACTGTCGTTAGTAATTTGGCATACTTCAAAACAAGCACTGGGTTACATCTTTTTTTTCTCTCCAGAAATGCCTGTGAAGACTTACGTACAGCCTAAAGGCATCCCATAAATAAAGATGATGCTAGTCCTGACACCTTGTTTATTTAAAATCTTACTTAATAAAATGTAAAAGCAAACCAGAATTAGATGAGTAGAAGGTGCCAATACCTTTATCAGTGCCTGATTTAACCTTTTAGTTTTACATTTTTTTCTTTTTATTTATTTGTATCCCACCTTTGTTATTTTTACAAATAACTCAAAGCAGCAAACCTATCCTCTTCTTATTTTTCCATAACTTCCCCGTGAGGTGGATTGGGCTGAGAAAGTGACTGGATCAAAAGTCACCCAGCTGGCTTTCATGGCTAAGGTGGGACTAGAACTCACAATATCCTGCTTTCTTGCCTACTACCTTAATCATTAGACCAAACTTGCATTTTAGCTTTATCATATACAGTAGATATATTAGACTAAAAAAAGGATCTATGAATTTTTCCACTACTATGCAATTCTCAGTATCAAAAATGGGATACAGAGATATCATTTTTAAATTTATTTGCTGCTTATCTCGCCGTGGGGCTACTCTTAAGTATTCTTGTTCTTCCTCTCCCTTTGCTACAGGAAATGTGATATTGATCAATTCCTTCAACTTCATTGTACAATCACTTAATATTTTAACAGTTGGTATATATTAGTATAGTAGTTCAACCTTTAATTTCTAAAGAGTCCTAGCTGGTGCCTTCCCAGAGACCAAGAGATACCTCAAGTAACCATTTATAATGAGTGTTAACGTACATAAATTCTTTTGTCAGCAGACTCTCAATTACAGATTCAGAATTGGGGAAACAGAAGTATTGATAGTGAGCCATTTGTTATCACATATGGAATGTGTGTGGGCAAAAGACAGGCTTTTTTTTTTTGACAAAAATTTGCATAATTTTTATATATTCTTCTATGACTCCCTCCCCCCCTCCCCGTTGGAATGTATTTTTACCTCCATTAGGCAAATCAAGCTTTCCTATCACAGTGGAATTTTGTACAATATATAGAATAAGTCAAGGCTGACTACCATCAGAAATAATTTGGAATAGCAGAAATGACATTTTAACTTCACAGAAAAATCTGTGATTAGATTCTGAAATCCTTTTTCTGTTGGATGGAGCCTGTGGATTCATTCCATAGAACTTTACGATGCCTAAGCATGGAATTTGGCCAGTACTCACTTTCTCTGAACTGTGCCCAGCAGATAACTATATGAGGTTGCAATCATCACTCTGATAAATAGCTGCCAGCTCACTTTCTCAAAATATTATTCATGCAAACAGTCTACTCGCATAAACTCTGTATCACTGGAACTGTGAATTTACACATGGTTGCAGCTCTTATTCTGTAAGCTAAGAAAATTACAGATGATCACCAAAACTGACTGTCAGGCTTTGGAATGAAGAGACAGGTTACTCATCTGGGAATTAAGACTTCAATAGAAAAAGAGAGTGCAAGATTGGAGAAAACCAATTTAGTTGATTTACATCTCTTATCAGCTTTAAAATCATATGCCTCCTTTTATGTATCATGTTCATTTGTTTATTTATTAAATTTCTGCACTGCCCATCTCATCCAAATGACTCTAGGCAGTTTACAACATAATAAAATATAAACTCCGAATAAAACCACAAATTAAAAACAGGAATAAGTTAGAACTTAAAAGTTAATCAAAGTTAAAATTTTCAGAAGGGCGAAAGTATATGGCAATGCCCTCAAGCCACCAGCAATCCCCAGGGTTGCATCAGTTTTGTTGTACTAAAAAACGTTTTTTTTCCCCAGATTAACAAATACAAAAAAAATCTATTCCAAAACTATTAGAAGAATCTACAAACCATGAAGTAAATGTGTTTTAACCACCAGTACTGGAAGGATTTGATTTTTTTTTTCCAGATCCAAGGCCTTTTGGATAAATCTGTATCCATCTTCTAAAAAAAATGGGGGAGGGAGAATACCCTTTCCTTTGGATTACAAACCCCATAACTCCTAGTTATCCGGATGGGACTTGTAGTCCACAGCATGTAGGTAACACTTGGGACAACTGCTTGAACATCTCCAGAGTCCTTAATGGTGCTCTCAGAGAGCAGAGCACCAAGACTCATCATCTTGATCCAGCCGGTTAAAGAAGGCTGAATTGGAGCCATGGGCTTTGATTGTTTAAAGTCCCAAATTTTGAGTTTTGAATCCACAAAGATCAATTAAAAAGAGCCGTCACCATCTGGTGCCCTCCAACTACACTGATATAGACACACACCAATACAAATACACCATAATTCGTTTGATACGTAGAGGAAGGCTGGATCCAAAGGACTCCGTTCTAACAAGGAGGGGGGGGGAGAAACCAAGCGCACGTGCTCAGGCGCCCGGCCAGCCCTGTGACCTCACACCGAAGTGGCAGCGGCGCGTGCTTTCGCCTGCGTCCTTGCCGGCGTGATCCCCGTGAAGCGCAGGCGCAATAGCAAGTTACTTAATCAGCCGCCCCTCCTCCTCCTCCTTTTTCCTTGCTCGGCGGGCGGAAGCGCAGTTCGACGTGAGAGGCGGGAGGAGGGGTCTTTGGTGGCGACTGTTCCGGTCTCGAGGGGTTTCCTGGTTGCAGCAGGCAGCGCTAGTGAGTAACGTGGGCGAAGGAGGCCATGAATTCGTCGATTCGTGTCTCTTCCCCCCCCCCCATCTTAGCCTGAGTTCTGGCTTTTTGTTCCTCTCCCCCCCTCCCCATTTTAGAGCGGTTAACGCACCTAAAAAAAACTTCATGCTTTGGTCAGTGACCAGGTCAGAAGGACGTAAAGCAGAAAGGAAAGACAACATCAGAGCCAAGTTTGTGCTTTTGGGGTTATTTCCGGGGTGGACAGGATGTTTCTTAGGAAAGGATCGGAGGAACATGGTCCCTAATTATTTTTTTTCTCTCCTGTTTTGCAAAATCGTTCTCTCAGAAGGCTACATTGCGTATCAGGAGGCATTTGTGTATATTGATTATCCATTTATTTATCTCAAGGGTTTAAGCCAGAAAGGGTTCTAAGGTAGTTTCCTGATCAATGCAAAAGAGACTGTGTGTCTTTAGGATTGCAGTTTCATAATAAGACTGGACATGGGAGAAGAAATTGGAGAGAGAACAAAAACAGTGACGTGCTGATTCTTAAATGATAGAATACTTTATAATAACCTGTTGTAACAGAATCATGGGGGTTGCTTTTCTCCTTGTGCTGCAGCCTAGGAATATTTCATGGGAGAGAAGCAAGGCCTGATGAGGTTTGAAGGCTTCTCAGCTTTGCTGGTTTTAAAATTCGTTATATACCGGTAGTTGGGAAAAATACGCACTAGTAGTGGTGGAGAAGTTAAAGGTTTAAATAGGAAAAAATATAAACCTATTTTTCAGTTTCTAAGAAATAGACTCCTCCCTCTCTCTGATAGCAGAAGAAACCAATTTCTTGAAGAAACCAATAACAAAATAATGCTAGGCAGTGCTACCAAAGTCAACATGCATATCAAAGAGACCTCAGTGTAGTTAGTAAGGGAGAAAGCTTACTGGCTAATCTTGGCCATTCACCAACTGTCAGACTAAAATAAAAGTTAAAGAAATATGGGTACTAACTTAAATTCATGGATGAAATATGATTGAAATAAAAATATGTGTAGCCCATACATTCTGTGCTGATATATTTATAGAAGAATCTCATTGCTGCCTTTGGATGGTTGTGATAATAGAACCTTCAAGATTATAGTACTGTCCTATACAGGAAGAAGCAAAGCTGGTGTCCTTCCTATCCCTTCCCTTTCTTTCCTGATAATTGGCATAAGCTTACCTTTAATTCATTGTTGGAGAAATGAAAATAAAGTGTCTAAACTTGAATAATGTTGCTGTCCTGTTAGGAGAGCTTTCTTTTTTCTATAGTTTACCTATTTCATTTTTCTCAACAAATAAAACATGGGTAACGTGGGATTTTTGTTTTTTTTATTGCCCTGGTATCAGATAACCTAAAAACATTTAATATTTGCTTATTTCAGAAGCTCGCATACATTGGATGTGTTACATTTTTATTTTGAGGAAATGTCTATTAAAATTCCATCCTAGTCAGTGAGTTACTATGAGCATGCAGCTTTCACTAAATATAGATTTGCTCATCTATGAAATAGGCTATTAATAAGTAGTCATGATAGCACTTTATAGTATTTTATATTACTGAAGTAATAATATTCCACAAGGACAAAATTGGTTGGTTAAAGATGTTAACTTATTTCTTTGGTTCTTTTCATACCTTTTTGCCCTTAAAGCTAGGGTACTCTCCAAATATTTTGGATTACATCTCTCATAAGCCCCAGTCAGCATAACAAATGAACAGGAATTATGGGAATTGTAACTGAGAAATAAAAACATTGGCTATAAGGCACTAGGTTTTTTACTCCATGTTCAGATTTTTTAAAATTTTATTTAGGAAAGTAGAATTGCATTCTACTTTTGTCAAATAACTGTAATAGTTTTAATAATACTAATGCTTAGCTAAATAGGTTTGCAAAAGATTATGGATTCAAACCTTGATAACATAAAGTAAAACTGAAGAGATTTCTATTTAAAACTTTGGAGAGCTGATATCTATAGGGAAGACTTAGGTCAACGGCCTACCTTTATATAAAACAACTTCATATGTACTGTTTATTTTATTGTGTGTATGTATATGTATGTGGTTTCAAGTCAGTTGTTGACTCCTAGTGATTGGATCGACCAGTCCCTGCAGTTTTCTTGGCAAGTTTTTTTTCTCATTGCCTCCTTCCTAAGGCCAAGAAAGAGTGACTGGATCAAAATCACTCAGCTGCCTTTGTGCCTAAGATGCAAATAGAATTCACAGTCTCCAGTTTCTAGCCTGATATTTTAACCACTACATCAAATCATTTCTCGTGTAATGTATAGATACTAATTTTAGATGAGTGGAAGAAACAAAGTACTTCTTATCTATACTATGATAACTCTGGTTTCTTTATTTTTAAAAATGTTCCTGCAAATCTTTAATGAGGTGTAGTGTAGTTTAATCTTTGCTTGATCTAGCATTGATTCACAAATGATGCCATGCTGTATTTGTACAATATGGAAGTATGACTTGATTTGAGAACTTTGAGTTAATAAACCATGCTTTCATCATCAGTTTTGTAGGAAAGGAATTCTTGTTAGAAATACCTGGATAGCCTAAGGCTCATATGAATTAGTACAATGTGTGGAAAATTAAGTGTGTGAACTTTTGGACAACAAGCCAACTGTACTTGTCATAGTGCTAGGTCTTGTTAGGTTTCCTAAATCATTAGGCAGATTGCATATTATATCTGTCAGGTTTGGGGGGGTGTTATAATATGAAGGGTTGTCTCTATTTGCTAAGGTATGATTAATGTGTTAAAATGTTTGTCAGATAATGTTGCTTGCCAGAAGAACAAGGTTTGGCAAGACGGACTATTGTAGGCTGAGTGTTTGCAAGCTGCAGATATAGTAGTTCTTTATCTTCTGACTGCGAGCCTTCCTTTTTTTAAATATAAGCTTGAGATGGTGTTTACTTGGGGAAGTCATGCTTTACACCAGAAGTCCCCAACCTTTTGAGCACCAGGGACCGGTTCCGTGGAGAGAGGTTTTTGTGCGGACTGGAGGGGGCGTGGTTTCATGTGCTGACTGCATCCCACAGATGGGGCTTTGCTAGTTTGCGCGGACTGGTTTCTGGCATGCCATAGACCGGTGCCGGTCCACTGATGGGGGTTGGGGACCCTTGCTTTATACAAATACACAGCTTTCAAGAATTGTCTACTAATGCCATACCTGGTAATTTTCTTTTGAACTATGCCACCTCATGAACGAAGGGAGTCATGACCTATTCAAAAGAACTTGGCAAAGAAAGAAAGAAAAAAAAAGAAATCAGGTTGTCTGGAAGCTGTTCCCTCCCTGAAATATAGGAGTCCTTTTGTTCTGCAGTATTAATAGTATTTAAGTGTAAATGCAGTAATAAAGACACTAAGTAGAATCAGGTGGAATTCTGTTGGTTCTCTAGAGAGGGAACTTGCCTTATATCATGCAATTAATTATGTTATACAGTCTCTGAGGAATTAGTGTACTTAGAGGGATTTTTGTGTCAGTACCTGACTATGTACACTTGAACCTAACAAGCCATGCCATTGGGATTCAAAATACAATGGTGAAAAAAATATTTTTTATCCCAATTTAAACATTGGAACAATTCACTTCAGTATGATGTATTATATAATAGAGTTGAATCTAGAGGAATTTAAATGGTAGCTTATTTCAGTGCTTTTTTTGGATCTTTGCTGATTTGAAATTTGATCAAATTTGTATATAGCTATCAGAATCTAAACTAGGGGTGTCAAACTGCTGGCCTGCGGCAATGGGGAAAAAGTCACGATACGTCGCGACATGTCATGTGACATCGCGAGTTTGACACCTGTGATCTAAACTGAGGACATTAGAATCATCTGTCTTTTACAGTTACATCAACATGCTTGATATACTGTTTCAGACCCAAATTTATTTTAGGTAGTGAAAACCTGTCAATTGCTGCTGAATATGATCTTTGAGCAGAAATAGTAAATGCCCATTAATCCTAGGTAAACTTTCCCTACTTTATAAAGAATTATGTAGGATTCTTCCAGGGCTGCATTTGAACTCTGATTAATATTCTTATAAAACTGTAGCTTTCAGAGTTGGGTTTCCCCAATATTTAAATGAATTCCAGTGGTAAGAGCTCTAACAAGTCATTGTTAAAGTCCTACATGCACATTTAAACATTACAACTAGTGAATGGCAGATAATAGTTCGCCATTTAAGTTGTTTCCAGAGATGAACCTGCCAATTGGTCCTTGTGTTGCAGTCCTCTTGTAACTTGAAAGCCTGAGTCAGGGTTGTAATTGAAAGCTGTATGAAATCTCAACTGATCAAGAATCCTCCTGTGCATGTGCTGAAAGGTATTTGAAAGCGCAGGTATTCTTCATCGCTTATGTTTATTGGCTATCATTTGGTTTTTAAATCCCATATAGCAGTGAGGGCAAACCTTTTAGAGACTGAGTGCCCAAAACCCAGCCCTATCCCGCCCACCACTCCGCACCCCGTGCCCGCCCACAGGGCCACCCACCGCCTCCATGGCCTGCCGCAGATCACCCAGGTGGCCCAGCAGCACCATGGCAGCCCCCCTCCACCCACACCCCGCAGCATCAACTGCGCGCAAACGGAGCGTGACGGCGGAATCTCATCCCCGCTGCCCAGCTGCCATGTCCTTGGCTGTGCTGCTCTGCATGGGCCGCGCTCGGGGGCGACTCTCCGGGGGGGCTGCTGGTGAGGAAAGGGAGGCGGGGCTGGAGCAATGACACGGGTGCCCACAGAGAGGGCTCTGAGTGCCGCCTCTGGCATGCATGCCATAGGTTTGCCACCACTGCCGTATAGAATATTGACTTTAAACCTGGGTAACGTGCAGTCCTGTGAATATTATTGAAATGTAAATTCCATCATTTTCAGCCAGAATGTAGTATTGGAAATGGTAATTTTGATAATCTGGAAGACCTCAGGTTGTACCATACATCCCAGCATTTTTTTTCTATGGGACTCTCATATTACCTGAGAACTGTTTCTCCTCATGAGAGAAGGCTTACTTTGGTCCAAGATTATAAACATTTATTATCAGTTAATATAGGCCGTCCATTGATTCAGGTTGAGATACCATCAATCCAGGGACAGTACATTTTGGTATTGCCAGTTTGTGTAGTGGTCCTATGAAGTGCTAGCCTCAAGAGCAGGAGATTGGGTGTTCTTGTCCTCTCTTATGTATGAAATCCAGCTGGTTGATTTTGGGCCAGTCCAGCCCACGTTATATGGTGGTTAGTTTGGGGAAAGTAGGAGGTATGAAAAATTAGGTATGTCAACTGCTTTGAGTTGCACAAAATATATAAAATGAGTAGGATAAAAAATAATAACAGCATTTCATATAGTTTGAACCCTGTGAATTGGAGATGGTAGGTAAATCTCACAGTGGTATTGGGAGGCTGTTTGGATTCGGATGACATGAAACAAGCTGAAGCTGAACGCATGCAAGACAAATTACTGCTTGGGCAGAAGGAGTAGAACTTATTTGAAAGCTTATGTCCAATTTGGTGCTCTTCCTTGACTTACAGCCAGGGTGGATAATAATGGTTTTTTAAAACAAAAAAACAAAAAAAAAATCAGATTTTTTTAAATTTAAATTGGATTTTCTATATTTTTATCAAATTTATTTTAATAAAATGCTTTTGGAGTAAAAAATCTATCTAAATATAATTTTCTATTTAAGATACATTAATCGTTTAGTTTATTCAGCATGAAATGGAGCTTAATTATGTAGCATGAGGCTATATATTCTGCAATATTTACATTTTTGGAAAACTCATTCAATGAATCCAAGCTCTGCAAGCTGAGATAACATGCACTGCATCGATGCATTCACACAATTTCACAGTAACCATGAGATAAATCATAAAACAAAGTTCAGGAATATTCCTTTATCCCATTGTTTTGCAAATCTATGTACACTACAAACTGTATGATTGTTTGAAGAGAGATGCATCTGTACCAGGCTCTTAAGTGTTTTAATTAAATAAAAGAAATTTGAGTAGTTCTCCAACCCTAAAATCGGTTCTGATATCACTGTTTTACCAACCTGACAGCTTATTATTCTAAATAGGAAACCTTCATTTTGTTTGCAAATAATAATATTAAAAGATTCTAACTACCAGCAAGAATGAGTCCTTACATTTAAAGAGCACCTGTCATTTCAGATCCATCATGGCAGTGCCTCTTAGCGGGCATCCACTCACCTGCTGCCCACCACGTCCCTCACTTTGTTGTGTCACTGCCACATCACCAACTGTCCCATTAAAGTGAGTGGGACTGTCGTTGAGTCAACAGCGGGTCAGAGGAGGAGCCGCTGCGGGACAGAGATGACAGTTGCTCTTTAAAAATTATGATTTAAATCGAGTTGATTTAAATCAAGCCTTTTTACTAGCGATTTAAATCAACCTGGTTTAAATCAAATCCACCCTGCTTACGGCTACTTCAAAACTGAGGCCTTACTTGGACTGGGAGGGTTTTCTCATAGTGATTTTGTCATATAAATACATAGCATGCATTTATTAGGAGCTGTGGTGGCACAGTGGTTAAAATGCAGTATTGCAGGCTAATTCTACCCACAGCCAGGAGTTCAGTCCGGATAGGCTCACGGTTGGCTGAGCCATTCTTCTGAGGTCGGTACAGTGAGGACCCAGATTGTTGGGGGCAATATGCTGACATTTGTAAATCGCTCAGGGAGTGCTGTAAAGCACTATGGAGTGGTATATAAGTCTAAGTACTATTGCTGTTGCTATTATTTGAATTAGCACATTATTTGAATGTGCTCTAGATAGAGCTACCTCTGAAGACTAGTTGATAAGTTACAACTGGTACAAAATATAGATGCTTGTGTATTAACAAGTCAAAACCACTATGATCATATAATACCTGCTTTATGGTTGCAGCGTTAATTATTAGTAGGTTTCCAGGTTCAAAGTGCTAGTTTTTTACCCACAAAGTCCTATATAACTTGACATTGGGTTATTAGCAAGGCTGGTTTCTCTGCATAGAAGTGTCTCACTTAGCCCACCCAATTTGGCTCAATATTAGCATCTTTTAGTCTTCCTTCAGGTGTGTGAAGTGAATGAAATAAGCGTTTTCAGGCAAAGTTTTTCATTTGCAGCCTCTGTATAGTATTGTGCAATGGCCTCCTTTGGAAATTAGGCTGATGCCTTCCTTCTTGGGTTTCCAGACGTTATTATGACAGAACTATTGGAAAGCCTCTTTGGGTAGTTATTGGACACTAATGCAACCATTGTATTATTGTAAATTTTAGGTTTTACTTTGTTCTATATTTTTGTGAATTAAACTGCTGGGAGTCATTTTGAATTTGACAGTATAAATATAAAACAAATAGGGAGATTTTTGGGCTTAGCTTTTGGCAGGAACACATGACCTAACACAGAGTTTTTACAATGGCTGTTCCAAAACTCAGGAATCTTTTGAGAAATAAATTGGCTGCTATTTGCTGCCTTTTTAAAAAATAAATAAATGTATACAGTGTAACAGAAAAATATTTTTAAAGGCTAGGTTTTGGTTGATGTGGTGGATTAATTGCAAGGCTACACATTTTTGATACTATTTAATTTGTTTGTTGGTTGTAAGCCACTTTAATCAGTTGGAAAAGTGGTGTGTAAATATTTAACAACATTTATAAATTGCTGAAATGCTCAGTGAGGTCAGAGCTTAGTGATCTCCAGAGAGCTTGATGAAAAGAGTTGGAATTTTTTTCTCATTTGTTTGGCATATATTTCTTCTATTGTTCCTTGTCTGGGCTTATATTAGTTACCATCTGAATGGATTCCAATTATGTGCCGGAACTATTACTGTCTCTCCCTCCTCTCAAGAGAACATGGGGCCTGGATTTCTTCAAGGGAAATTGTTTATTTGAGCTCATCAGTTTTTTTCTCCCTACATCCTATGCCAATGTAATTGTTTTCTCTCTTTTTTTATCCATTAAAAGTAATGGACCAATAAACAGAAACATTAATATCACTTTAGTATTTTATATTTAAACTGGTTGGTTTTATTTTATAAAAACTATTGACCTATTAAATCATTCAAATTAGTGAACCCTATTTGGGTAGAGGTGCCTGCACGGTAGAACATTTTCCGTCATTGCCTGTCGCAAAAGAAATAATGGACGGGATCTGGTATGTGATGGGCTTCACTAGAGAGGCAGAATTTATTCAACCTGGAGTATCTGCACAATTGCAGCCCCTGAGTACAATAAGTCATCTCTTCTTTCTATTTTCCAAACCACATTTCTTTTGTATCTGTCAAAAAATTCTTGACAAGCGGGTCTTGTGGGTAAATTGATAAAAGAATCCTCACGTTGTCTCATCTCTCTTCATGCTGCATGCAGCGCAGTAGAGAGCTGGCAGAATTCTTGGTTGCCAAGTAGGTTTTTGGCCCTCTTCTGAAAGACTTTGCATAGCCTTGGAATACACTTCTCACAAGTATGTAGCATTAGTATTTTTATTTAGTGTGGTATGCACATATATCTTAGGGAACCTTTTTTGCCTTGTTAAAAGTTTTCTTTCAAAAGCATAAAACCCACTGAACACATTGTAGCTTGATTTTGAGTGAAAAGATAAAGGTGAAGGTTTCCTGTCCAATCGTGCCTGACTCTAGGACACGGTGCTGATCTCCGTTTCATGGCCGAGGGAGCCAGTGTTACCCGAAAAATGCATAGAAATGCACCCTAGAATAGATGGACTGAAGTTTTGTTCACTGTAAAGCTTGTTCTCTGTGTTAATGAAATATCTACATTGGTTTGCTGAGCTTCGTTCATTTTTTCTTTTGTTTTTCCCCCTAGATAAAATATTTACCACAATGTTCAGTGGATATGGCGATGCAGAAGCATTTGAAGATGACCCTTATTCGGAAGGGTCTTCCAGTGAAACAAGCATTGATAGTGAAGTAGAATTTCATCTTTACAGTCAAATCCATTATGCACAAGACCTTGGGGATGTCAGTGAAAATAACAATAAGGATGTCAAAAGACAAGAAGAATTTAAGTCCTTGAAGAAAGAGAAATCAGAGAATGAACAAGATCAGAGAAATAACTTAATTGTCATTTCAGATAGTGATGTTAACATTTCAGATAGCTCCGATGTCATAATATTGTCTGATACTCCTGATGAAGATAGCATTTATGAGAGTAAACTCCAGAAGCTAACAGTATCAGCGTCTCCAATTTTACGTAAATTAAATAAGACTACATATTCTTGTGCCAAAAAATCTATTAAACACCCTTCCCAGCCTATCCTGAAAACTGAGGATCAGATTGCAGTAAATTCAAGTAAAGCAAGAAGAGCTGATGAAAAGGCAACCTTAAATAACCAGGGTGATGTTCACATGATTCATAGAGTTTTAGTAACTGAGGACAGCTCCAGCAGTGATGATGCAATTGATGTGTCAAGTATATCCTCTGAAAGTGATAATGTGGAGAGCTGGATGCTGCTGGGAAGTGCCGCAGATGACAAAGATGATGATATTCTGTTAAATCTTGAAGGCTGTAGAACTTCAGCCAGTAGAGGTTAGTATGTTTTTGTGGGGGGTGATTCCAAGTAGCTACAAGGAAGATTAGATATCATAATGGAAAGAGTAAATATAAGGGTCAAACAGTTTTAGGGTGTTGGAAAATAAAACAGTAAGTATAATGACTGCTATAAAATATGTTGGTACCTTTGTAAGTCATGTTGTGTTGTTTGAATAGCAGAAGATCATTCACACCACAGCCCTACACCTATTTATAAAGAAGTATAGTCTTCCTGGGATATGTCCACAGTTTGTAACCTTAGTGAGAAAAGAAGAGCACATTGCAATGAACCTAATATGCATCTGCAATAAAAAGATTACAAATATTATACTGATGCAATAAATGAGGAAAACAAATGAAACACATACTATACTTTTGGACTGATAACTGTAAAATTATAATTTAAGCCATTAACATTTCCAATTCAGAGAGAACAGTATTTGGAGACAGTGATAAAGTCTGTTATGAAAACAAATTTGGGATAGTCTTGGTTTCTCCTTTACAGTTAACCCTTGATTTATGACCATTCATTTAGCAACTGAAATTATGATGGCGCTGAATGAAGAGACCAGTGTTTGAAGTTGCAATGCCCATATAGTAACAAGATAAAAATTCAGGTGCTTGGCAGCCTGCTCAGGCTTATAACCACAGGAGCACTGCAACTATCTCCACCTACCTATTCTCCTCTCCCCAATTTAGGTCACCCTTCCCAGCAAGGCCAAGGCTGGGCTTGAAGTAGAGGCCCTGGGCCTTCAGCAGTCTCAGCCAGTGCCACCACCCTCAGATCTTGGCTTTAGCCCTAGCGCTGCTGCTGCCACTGAGAAATTCTTCCCAACTCCCCACACCATAGCCCGCCATGTAATTCACTCAACATTGAGATTCCAGTCCCAATTGTCATAAATTGAGGATTATCTGCATTCTGTCTGTCTTTCCACCAACATGTCATTAAAAAGACACAAATTTTAGTTCTCATCCTCATCTTAATTCAAAATATGGTATTTTCACAGGGAAAGGAAATTTATTTAATGACGGTTGCCTGATGAGTGTTTTGTAAGATTTGCTGTCTGAATAAGTTACTGTTTTACAAATAAAAACTTAAAATTAGGTTTGTATACTATTAGCAAGAAAACCGCAGAAGATATGAGGTAAGTATGAAACACCTAAAAACAAGTATTCATTTAATTTGTGCATAAAAATCTTAATATTTTTTATTTATTTTTTTACAATATATTTATTCAATTTATACAGCTGCCCATCTTAAACACGTGCCTCTGGGCAGTGAACAATCATAAAGCCAATTAAAACATATTTTAAAAACAAGTAAATATATACAGCAAAGAAAATTATAAAATTGTATATAGAAAATTATAATCCATAACAAAATCAGGAAACAGGGCCCTTGCTAGTGCTATTGCTATTAACAAAATGGAGCCCCAGGCCTGGGCATATAATCAAGGTCTTACAAAAGGCCAATAGGGTTGATGTCATACTAATTTCCGAAGGATGAATGTTGTAGAGGGCAGGCACTACAGCAGAAAAGGCATACTTCCTAGTCTCCACCAGCTGACATCCCCCCCCGACACACACATACATATACAGAGCATATATTGCTCATATAAACTGAATATAATAAATATATTTTATTTTCCATGTTATATTGCCTTATAATTTAAGCTCTGTTATATGGCAATGTATGGCATTTTGCATAGTATTTTCGGTCATCATTAAGAATAAACATTTCAACCTGAGATTTAGTTTCGGCATATTGTACAGATTTTCTTAGACTGTATTATATCAGTGTGTGCTAGTTTTTATAATTTAGCTCCTCAAATTGTAACATCTAGTCTAGCTTTTTAAAAGGCCTAGGAATATATAATTCACAAAGAAGAAACATGCTATAAATGATATTATTTTAGCAAAGTATTATACGATTATTGATTTATCCTAAATTCTGTTCTGTGAGCAGAATTTTCCTGCAATCTTTCTACTCCCTGAAAATGGTACTCTTCGGAGTTGGTGGGTACTCTGGAAACAAAATACAAGTTCCTGAGGTGTGGCAAAGAGGGTTATTTATTCAGAATTAGCAGTGGCTGCACTACATGCGTGCTTAACCACCCTTGAATCCAGCAGCTCACTTTTGTACAAATCTCATTTTGCTTTTGCAAAAGGATTTGCCCTGTTTTTCTTTATGCAGTTTGTTGTGCATCCTCATTCTTCTTCAAAAGGTGAGAGGAAAAGTTTCTGAAGCACACTTTGAGGTTGACTGGGAAGAGCAGTGGGAATGAAGACTCAGTTACCACTCTCTTGTGCAATAAGCAGAAATTGCTTCTGTAAACAACAGGATGGCCCAGGCATAATTTTAGTTTCTGCCTAAAACGTTTAGTAATTCATGAAGAAACATGCCACCAACTTAGATATTTTTTCTGCAGTGGTGAACACGTCTGAAACTTTGGAAGGATCTTGTGGGTACAATAGCAGTGATTTGGAAGTGATTTGATTTTTCATGAAATGGCTGCTATGGTGAATGGATCAGATAGAAACATCCTTTTTCTGGAGAATAAAGAAGTATTTTGTGCCTTTCTATCTACATTTACTCTCCAGGAAACTGTCAACTAACCCAACTTATCTTGGTCATTTTTTTTGGTAGATGGCCATGTTTCCAAACATATATTTTCATTGTCTTTATTCTCTAAAGTGCCAGTGAACCTAAATGATATTCAGCTTTGTTTTTAAACATACCATTTTCTATTTATTTGGCTTTTTAAATTGAGATCGGTGGGTGACAAGAAATGGTTGGTGTCAAGTTAGATATCTATTTCCTATTTTTTTTAACTGTACACCATGATGCTAAGGGAACTTTTGCCAAATAAATTATTAATTTTTTTAAAAAAACAACAACTGAAAATGTTATTACTTGGACCTGTAACTGCAATATTGCCAATCAGAACATACAATAGAAAAAGATGACTGCTCCAAGATCAGGCTGTGTTCAGTAACAATAGTAACAGAATCCTTCATGGGTGTGTTCAGTATATAACTTTGAGATCTGAATCTTTTAACACTTAAACATTTGAAACACATCTCTGGGTTAGAGCTATCTTAAGCAAGTAGACTTCAGTGCTAATAGCAAGGAAAAACATTCTGTCATGGAAGATTTCTCATTGTATGTATGTATGTATGTATATTCCCTTTTGGTTTCTAAGAATGGATTAAATGAATAATATGCCCCACACATATTATAAAAAATAACACTTGTTATTAAAGTTATATGTAATGTAAATAACATACTTTTTCATACATGTAGAGTTAGAAGCCTTCATCATTAAGCCATCAAATCTAAATGATGTAGTTGTAAAGCAGGAAGTTGTGTGACTTCATTGCTTAGTGATTGCAATTCAGGCATGCCTTGTTGCTGTCATTAACTGAGAAACTGAGAATTAACTGAGTGTACCCCTCCCAAGCCAAGCCATTCTGGGTTTGATTCCTCTCAGCCCCAAGCCTAGTAAAGTAAGGGACTGCCTACTACTTCCTCCACCTGCCTATCCATCCTCCCCCATTTCTGTCTTTTTGGTGCCCTGCTGGGCAGGAAGCAGTTCTACTACATGGCTCTGGGGCTGCTTGCCACACCCAGGAAGCCCCATGTTTGTTTGGGGTGGGGGGTTTTTTTGTTACTTTTTCTTGCGGTTCTGAAATTGATTCTGCCAAATGTAGTTTTGACTGTTCTTCAGCATGCTTGGGAACCTGTTCTTCAAGAAATGTCTTACAATTTTTATATCCGTTATTTATTCCTACAAAAAAAGTGATATTCGTAAGTAGTTGCAGAATCCTCCGTTCTTAATATTCCCTGCTCCTTTCAACTCTCTTTATAGCAATTAGTTTTTTAGTTTTGATACCCATGCTGTTCTTTTATTTCCCCCCCCTCAAGCATTAGACCACAGTTGGTCACTCCAGTTACAATAGATTGGGTGAGTTGTAGTATCATGGAGATTGAGTCTCTTTTGTGATGATTGGACAGCAGCATAGGGTCAGCCCGAGAGACAAGGAACAACAACAGCAGGCCTCAATCAAATTGTGTGTTCAACAGTTTATTTAAGTTGAGGGAACACTACGGATGCTTGGCAAATAATTGTTCTGAGTGAGTGGTTGCTGTGGGTTGGAGTCAAAAACAAAAAATGCCTGTGAAAAGTCTTGGTGGTCTCAAAGGGCTTTGGTCCAGTTTGGAAGATAACAGAATTGCTATGACCATTAGAGATAGCCAGGAGATTGTCTTTGAAGAAGACTCTGTCAGTGTTTATTATTTTTCTAGATAAAAAAAAGGCAGTGTCACAGACCACGCCCCCTGTGTTAGCACGATCGAAGCATTTTCATTCCATTATGCAGATTTGAATAGGAACTAAATCAGTTTTTTCTACAATTTGAGTCGAGAGATAGCTGTCCTCTCCAGGGCCTCAAGAAGGGCAGGGCTTAAATTGAATGTAGCTGTTTAAAGTTAACAATCTAATAGTTTGTTCATTAAGGTTATATTGTTCCTTTGTTAAAAGTAAGAGAGGCTACACCTTCCCTCAAGAAGGAACTCATTGAAGTCTTCAGCTCTATCCTGGAAGAGTTTAAAAATCACGATATACAAAAGATGTAGGGAATAGGTTTTTAGTCTCAATTTCACAAGCAGCTAAATCACGTTCTTTGCTTAAAAATGTAATACATTAGCTCCATACTGATTTAATAAGGTTATTGATATTTTATTAATATATTAATGCTATTAAAATATGGCATACAGCTACTACTATGAATTAGTTTTATTTGTTTCAAGTTGGTGACAGAGTGCCCTTCATGGCTTCAGTACTGACCAAGTCCATTCAATTTACACAGAGGAATTTTGTACATTCAGAAACAATTTTGCTGGCTGGCACTGTATGAATGTATTTGTGAAAGAAAAGGCTGTTGCTGCTGCTGCTGTTGTCCTGGAAGGAGCAGCTCAAAGATGGTTTGTTTTATGT